TGAACTGGTGTCACCCAAAGCTCTGTATTCAGCCTCAATACTAGAGCGAGATGGAATAGCTTGTTTCTTACTACGCCATGAAATAAGAGAGTTACCAAGAAAGAGACAATAGCTAGTAATGGATATTTGATATGTAAGATCACCAGCCCATTCAGCATCTAAACATGCACGAAGCACAAGAAAAGATTGAGTTGAGAAGTGAAGTCCATGAAATAGTGTTCCTTTAACATAACGAATAATACGAAGTACAGTAGCATAATGAGTAGAGTGGGGGGCAGCCATAAACTGACTAACAACATGGACTGCATATGCTATGTCTAGATGTGTCATGGTAAGATAAACTAAACTCCCAACTAGTTATCGATAACGAGTAAGGTCAAGGAGTGGAGAACCATCTAATGATGTGAGCTTGATATTAGGTTCAAGAGGTGTGGAGATAGTCTTGCTATTAGTGAGACCAGCTTTAGATATAAGATCTGATGCATACTTCACTTGAGAGAGAAAATAGCCATCATTTGAGGATGTAACTTCAAGTCCCAAAAAATAACTCAAAGAGCCAAGATCTTTCATTTCAAATTTGTGGCTAAGAAATTGCTTAAGCTCGTCAATCCCTGAAACATCATTTCCAGTGATAATCATATCATCAACATATATGAGTAAGAGAACTATTCCTTGAGCAGTCTTACAGATAAATAAAGCAGTATGATGTGAACTAGATGTGAAATCAAACTCACTCATAGTAGAACTGAATGTTGCGAACCAAGCTTGAGGAGATTGCTTTAAACCATATAAGGCTTGTTGCAATCAACATATCTTATTCGAAGGATGACCAAGTCCAAGAGGTGGTTTCATATAAACCTCTTCTTTTGAGTCACCATTAAGAAAAGGATTCTTCACATCCATCTGAAGTAATTGCCATTTGCGTACAGTAGCAATTGCTAGTAAATTGCATATTGTGGTAAGATGAGCAACAGGCGCAAAAGTCTCCTCAAAATTAATGCCATATTCTTGTGTAAAACCCTTTGCCACTAAGTGTGCCTTATAGCGCTCCACAGATCTATCAAAACGAGTTTTGATCTTGTATACCCATTTGCAGCCAACCAGAGTCTTATCAGTAGGAAGATTAACCAAATCCCAAGTACCAATCTTTTCCAAAGCTTGTAATTCCTCTTTCATAGCTTGTTGTCGTAGAGGATCTAAAGAAGCTTCCTTGTAGGATTAAGGTTCATGTAAAGATGTAACTGTAGAAAAATAGTGGTAATCTTGAAGTTATGTAGGTGGATTTCTTACCCGAGTATGATGATTGGAAGAGGAAGGAATTGGTGGATTTTCAATCTCATTTGTTCTAGGTGCAATATCTGTAGAAGAGACATCTTCTGAACTAGGAGCCATGGTAGTTTGATAATTTGAATACTCATTAGGAAACCCTACATCATCACTAGGAAATAACTCAAGAGATGGATTAGTAAAGATAGGAGTTTGGTGAGAAGCAGACACCTTGAATTTCGTGTTACAGAATATTCATCTTTTATTATATTCACATTATAATTGATTGACATAATTAAGTTAATTGATTTTATACTGCAGAATATTCTCCTATACTGGCTTATAAATAGGCATTTTGTATATTCAAATGAATCAAGAAAATTATCACTTTCTTCACATTTTTCTCTCTTGCTTTATTTTCTCACATGATATCAGAGCTATTGAGCTCTTTTATCTCTTGTTAATTCTTGATTTGCTATTTCTAATTTGCATCGGCAGTATTATAATATACTATTGTTCTCGGCCATGGAATCTGATAGTGCTCCAGTTTGGGTTTCTTGTTTTTGCTCTTAGAATTGTGCCTGGTCAGCATCGTGCCTTCAAACTTGTTCCCTATCAATTCAAAATTGTGCTCCACTGTTTTGGTTCTCTAGCAACCTGCTGTTATTGCTCAAATCCGCATTGACCTACATTGTTTTTGTTTGGTCAGATCTCCTTACATAATATTCTTTATTATTATTATTATTATTATTATTATTATTGAGAAATTTGATATTTTGCAACCAATTTCAACTACTCTCAATGGCTCAAATTACATACTTTGGGCTCAAAGTATGCATAGTTTTTTGAAGGGTTGGAAATTATGGTGGTATATTATTGGTGACATTACACTTCCATAAAAAGTTACTGATGAGATAGATAAGAAATACATCGATTGTTTGGAGGACTGGGATAGCAAAAATCATCAGACCATCACTTGGTTTCATAACACCTTAATTCCTTCCATTCATCTTCCGTTTGGACGGTATGAAACAACTAAGGAAGTGTGGGATTTGCTTGCAGCCAGGTATACTACTTTTGATTTATCTAGTCAATATCAATTGTGGAAAGAGTTACACAATTTGAAACAAGAACATGGAGAGTCCATTACCGGTTTTTATGTTAAGATGGAGGTTTTTTGGGATCAGCTTGCTCTCTCAGAACCAACCTTTGACTACACTGCCGGTATTGGGAAGTCTATTGAGCATCGTGATAAAATGAGGTTAATTCAATTTCTTATAGCACTTACTGATGATTTTGAACCATGCAAAGCTTCTTTATTGCATTAGTCTCCTTTACCTTCCTTGGATAGTGCTTTCCCATGACTATTATTGATGAAACTCGTTAAGGCTTACTGAAGCCTCAACAAGATAATATTGTTGCTACAACTATTAACAATTTCCTTCGAGTAAGAAAGAATATAAGCATTGTCAACAATGTAACAAGTATGACCATGCTCTACATGAATGTAGTCTGGTTGAGTGCCATAAATGTAAGCAGAAAGGTCATATTGCTCCTAATTGTACCACTCTACTACCTTAGAGATCTGATCAGTGGAAGACTCATTCAAAGCCTGACCAGTTTTCCAAGCCTGTGGTTGCTGCAACTGTTGTCAACAAGGATACTTTAGCCCATCCTTCGATTGGTAATTTGGAAACTCTTCTTAAACAAATGATATCATCTTCTTCTGCATCTATTGCCTTGTCTACCATCTCAAGTAACGTTTCTTGGCTTTTTGACTCTGGTTGTTACAATCATATCGCTTCGAACTTTAAACTCTTTTCTACATTACCCCTAATAGCACTTCACCTCCAATTCATACTATTGATGGTTCACAAATGCTAGTTAGTCAATATGGTCAAGTGTCTACTTTCAACCTGACCTTACTAAACATTTTCCTAATACCAAAACTTACTTTCAATCTTATTTTTGTGGGACAAATGTGTGAACTTGGTCTTGAACTAATATATCCTACTCATGGTTGTCATGTGCAGGATCCACAAATGAGGTAGATTCTTGGGACAGGCTGTAAGGTTAGACAGTTATTTGAGCTCACCTCCCTGCACATCCCTTCTAGTTACGTCTCCTAGTTGTGTGCAGTTTTGACATCCTCTTCTCTACACTTATGGCATCTTCATCTTGGTCATGCTTCTATTAGTAAACTTCATCCTTTAATTCAAAATGGGTCTTTAGATTCTATCAAATAAGAGTCTTTACATTGTGTCTCATGTTAAGTTGCTAAACAACCTGCTTTATCTTTCAATAAAAGTGATTCTATTTCTCTTACACCTTTTGATTTAGTACATTTTGATATATAAGGGACATCTCCCACTTCTACTATGGGTGGTTCAAAATATTTTGTGTTATTTATTGATGATTATTCCGGCTTCACTTGGCTATATTTGATGAAAAAACGTTCAGAATTACCTCAAATTTATCTTGAGTTTTCTAATATGATAAAGACCCAATTCTCTAAGATCATCAAAGTCTTAAGAACTGATAATGCTCTTAAGTATCTTTATTCTAAACTTCAATCTTTTCTTAAAGAGCAGGGCACAATACAATAACGATCTTGTCCATATACCTCAACAAAATGGGCAGGTTTAGCGTAAACATCGTCGTATCTTGGACTTTGTTCATGCTCTCCTAATTTCATCTTCATGTCCTGAATGTTTTTGGGGTGAAGCTATACTTACAACGATCTATGTCATAAATCAAGTTCCATCTACTGTCACACAAAATAGATCTCCTTATGAGTGTCTTTACGGTATTCTTCCTGCCTATGATCTTCTTAAAATTTTTGCTTGTGCTTGTTTTGTTCTTTTACCTTCTCATGAACATCACAAGTTAGAGCCTCAAGCTTGACTTTGTTGTTTTCTGGGGTATGGGATGCAACATAAAGGCTATCATTGTTGGGATCTAGTATCACAAAAACTCCATGATTCTCATCATGTTGTTTATTGGGAACACACTATGTTTGCTTCTCTTTCCGAATTCAAGGTGTCTTCTTCTCATCAAAATCCTATCTTCACTAATCCATCTCTCGAGTTATTTCCTAGTGATGATGTAGGTTTCCTGATGAGCATTCAAAAAAAACATGTGAGAAGTGATGAGTTGGCATTTTATCCTTAAAATTACATAACTATCCTTAATTTACATGCTATTTTAACTCATTTTATTATTTTAATATTTATGAAAATTACCAAAATACCCTTATCTTCAACCTCTCTCCATTCCTCTCTCATTTCTAGATCTCCTTCAACTCTCATCATCTTTGTTTTAACTTTTATTATTTTTGTTACAGTTACTTCACCTCTCTTCAATCTTGCATTACTCCAAACCCATCTCTCATGCCTTCAAATCCCCTTATATTCAATTCCAAAAGACAACCTACCAAAATCATTGCCCAAATATCCACTCTTAGCATTGGAACCTCCTCAAGGATGAGGAAGACAAAATTGAGTCTTGTTTTTGAATGATTTAGTGAATGTATTTGATTGATAGCAAAACAACAAACAATCCAACGTCGGGGCATCCACTATTTCATCTAACGTGAAGCTTGAAAATATAAGTAAGAGCTATAAGGGAGTCATAGTGTTGACGAATATCAACTAGGAGGTGAAGAAAGGGGAGAAAGTTGGATTATGCTAATCTTCAACCTCTCTTTCAAAAACCCAAAATTTTCATGTTAAAAACTTTGATTTTACTTCTTTAGATCTATCTAAATAGCTATGAACCAGTTCAAGAAAATCTTGTTTTTGTCAACCCTTAAAAACTTCATCAATTTCTTTGTCATCTCCATTTGATCTTCGACATTGCAACCACACACACTATCATATTAGGACCAAAAATTAAGTTCATCAAAAACTAGAAATCAAGTCTTATGAAACCCTAAATACAATGGTAATAGAATAAAAGATGCAAAAGTGCAAAGATGTAAGGTTTTGAAAGGTGTACAAACCCTAACTATTTATCAGAAGCACCAAAGAAGGTCCATTGTTGATTAGAGTTGGATTGCTTGATTTCTCTTAATTGTGCCTTCCATTTATCGGACCTTGATTGATTGAAGGAGATACATTCGAACGCTTGGATCTAATTGAAGAATGGGGAAGGTGGATGAAGGACAGAGGTTAAAGAAGATGAAGGGTTTCACAAAATGGGGGAACTAAAGTGAAGAAAAAAAAAATGAAATATTGATGTGGGTCCTATCAAATGAAAAGGTTGAATCTAATGTAAAAATGCAAAAAATGCAACATCATTAAAAGAAAGGTGTTTTTTTTACACAATCATTTTTTTTTAAAAAAGAGTGATTTTGTGGCTACTTAATGTGCCATATGATACTTTTGTTGATGAAAGGATTAAATTGGTTCTAAAAATTAAAGTTTAAGGATTTTTTAATACTTTTTAAAGTTTATAGATAGATTTGCTTCAAAAATGAAATTTGAGGGACCAAAATTTTGTATTTAACCTTTAAATTGAGATGCTTCATTAGAAGATGTCCATTTGAAATTTTTGGCCCAAATGGAAAAATCTTCATAGAAATGAGAGATTTTGGCCCAATTGAAGTTGAGGGCTTGGTTTATTGACTTTATCCTTTCTTGACTGAAGAGTCAAGAACCAATAACTTTTATAATGTTTATGAGAATTGGGCTTGAAGTTATTTAGAGGGAAGTGTAATAGAAAAAAATTTCTCTTGCTTTTTTAGGCCGTTTATACAAATATCTTTAGTCCAATATATATATATATTTAAAACAATTGAAGTAGAGTATTGGGCATAGAGAAAAGGAAAAAAAATGAATAAAAAAAAACTCAAATTGCATCAAAAGAAATTTCACACATCAACATGATGAATACGCATCTCAATCTTCATTTTATTCCTTTCTCAAACAAAATATAAGGAATTTCCAAGGTTTATATGAGGGCACTGTCACCCGAACAAGAAGAAATTTATGCTTCTGCCAATGCTATCAAAATACAGAAAAATCCATTCCTTTATCGGTGAAATCACTGTTCACGCTGACCCACAAAAAAACAAAAAAAAAAAAAATGATCATCTACCATGCAGGGGGTATCTACTTTCTAAATTTTATTCTACTTGAACTCAAAAATTTTGTGAACAACAACACAAACAAACTACCATCAAACCAATTCAGCGCTAAATGAAAAGTTAAATTCATTTCAACATTTGTCACAAATATAGCAGAACTGGAAACAAATGAACAGGAAATTATCATGAAACAACTGATTTTTTACCCAGCAGATATTCTAAATGAGACACAAAAATGGTAACTTGAAGCACATAATGCCATGGAATCTTTGTAGACTTCAAATCATTTAGAATTTCTAAAGTAACAAACAAGAAAATGCACGGTAATCAATCCAACTCCCAAAACTTATCAAATGAAAAGGCGGTGACAAACAAGTTAAAAGGCGACTTAGCTGTACCAAACTCCATTGATAAACTTAACCTGACAACAAAAAATTTCGAAAGAACAAAGCCAAGGTTGAGTATTCTCACCTTATTGCCTTTTTTTTTTTTTTTTCAACAAGAGAAATACAAATTCGAGCTAGAAAATAGTCATAACTTCAAAATAAAGAATAGGTTAGAACTGAACAAAGCAGTAGTCGTCAAAACAGAAAAATATGCTGAAAATGAACAAAATATATAGTTTAATCCTAAACACTTTTAAATTGTTATCTATATAAAGGAATTCAAAATCAAGTTGGATTTAAGAGGTCATAGTGAAAGTAAAGATTAAAAATTTATTGTCTTTTAACCCTCCTAAAATCCTTATGAATTTATTAACGAATAGGGAAGATTTGTGACCAGTACCTCAATGTCGCATGCCTTGTTGGGGCATAACTCTTATCATCATCCTCTGATGAAGTCTTAGAGCCCAAGGGTAGAACTTCTTTAGCAGTAATCCGCATGTACACTCAGGGATTTGAAGAAGATAAGATCTCTTAAGTGCTAGCAATAGGAAACAGGATGCAAATCAGTTTGTTATATTTTCTATGCCTATTATATTAATAATAGGAAATATGAAGACTAACAATTCTAATCCTATTTGAATTGTCAAATTTGGTCTTCTAATCAAAGTAGAAAAGCAAGAAGTAGAAAAGAAAGAAGGAGGAGACTTTATTTCCTTTTCCTTTTTCCCACTTTGCCGCACCCCTAGTCCATAATGGACTAGGAATTTTGGCCAAGGGCTTCATTGCCCTTTGTGTCACCCAACCCTAGTCCAATGTGGCCTACGGTTTCACCATAAATCCTCTAAGGACTTAAATATCACGTTAAATTTTTCTATCCTTAATTTTGGACAAATGCAAACTTGGATTAATTAAATTAAATTAATTCACTCTACCAATATAATTCTCATAACTTGATTAATTCATTTTTCTTGTAAAAAATAATATTTTCAAATAAATTAATTCATATCTATAAACTTGGATTTATAAACATCCCATTCCCACAACTTACTAAGTGTGAGACCCTCTAAATTACGATCATGATAGCAATGAGAAATACCCAAAGACCAATAGTAGTATCAAGCAACATATCATGGCCACCTAAAGTGATAGAAATGTTAATGGCTATGACTAACCTTCCTATAATTGATGCATTTATGTAATTTAACCCTTTCATCACTAATATCTTAATCAAGTAAGATGCATGTTATGTATCATCATCCTTAAAGCTAGATATATTTTCTTTGACTCTCAAGATGAAGATATTTCTTGAATGAAACCTTTCATTCTTGCAATGGCCATGGACTTGCAAGTAGTCTTGTCTCATTCAAAAGGGTAGAGTTACCTTCTTTCTTATGCTCGAGAGGGACGAATCCATTCTTGACTCTCCCATTACTCTCAACAGATTTATGATATATCCAATAATTGTATTACTTGCAACCCCTCGTAGTAGCTTTTTTTAACAACATCAAATTACACAAGTCCTCACATGAAATAATGACAATCTCATTTTTTTTGGTACTAAACCCCAAGTTTTTGGAAGTCACATTGGACCTTGACTAATTCAAAGTACAGTTGAGTTAGAGCCCATAAGAAGGGAAGCTTTTCTAGCGCCTAGTACCTATCTTTTCATTTACAAGACTTGAACTTGAGACCTTGCTTAAGGGCTATCAAATTCCATCTATTTAAACCAATAAGTCATTGGTTTAGAATAATGACAATCTCATGTTAAAGGATTACTGACACTCATGTCACAACTAAAAAGCTACAAATGACGAGTGCATGTAGTGATCTCATGGTTGGTTAATCCAATGTACTCATTTACTTTCAATTACTCACACGTGATACATGACTTCATAAAAAGAAGCCTAATCACCTAACATAACATTGTATATTATAAAATGAATGTCATATAGGCATTGTAGGTTACCTTTATTTTCTAGCATTGATAATTGATAACTTATAAGCATATCTATTATTTTCTAAAAAATTAAAATAAATAAAAATTTCATTCATACATTACTATAATTATATGCCATTTACAAATATCTACAAATACAAACTTGTTCTTCTAAAGAGGGTTTTAGCAACTCTTGTGCCAAAACAACATGATTTCAATACCAATCCATTCAGGATTCACCTTCATGGATTGTCGATGAGATTGAGATTAGAGAGGGTGGGCAGACTTGTAGGTAGTTCAATTGGAATGCTTCTTTAGGTGGATGAGAATTATGGAAAATCTCTTTGAGTTCTACTTAATGTTCTAGTGGGTAAGCCTCTACGAAGATCCTCAATTGTCAAGATGACTAAAATTGGGACAAAAAAGGTAAGAATCAAGTTTGAGCAACTTTTGGAGTTTTGTAATATTTGTGGTTGCATAGGGCATATTGAAGCAGATTGTGATATTGTCTTCCATTTGAAGGAAGCTAACCATAAAACAACAAAGTTTTAGGGACCATGGTTGAGAGCAGAAGTTGATGGTTGGGGTCCAAAGGTTTTGGAAAACTTAGAGCTTTTAGATGAAATAAACAAAATAAGTAAAGAATAAGAAGCAAAGACTAATAAGGTGGAAAATAGAAGGTCAATGGAGAGGGAGGAGTCTAGCAAAGCACCTTTTCCTTAGGTTTCTTAAAACCAAGAAGCAAAAAAAGACATTGGGAAGGAGAATGGACTTGTAGAACAAATGATTGAAAACGTGGACCATGCTTCTGAACTTCAGCTTGTAGAGATACTAGTGCAACAAGTTATATCATCCTCCAAAGGAGGAAAATCAACAACTTCAGGTTGTGGAAGTTGGGAAAGAATTGATAAGAACCTTGCATCTACCACAACTTAAAGAAAAAAATAATGGGGAAAAGGAAACAAATGCAATAAGGAATAAAGGATGAAAGAGCATCAAATGTATTGCTTGACAACTTAGGGACTACATTGGCAATGTAGGCAGATGTTTTCTTTCATTCATTTGCTGGTTAATAGACCAATTAGGTCTGGATAGAGCATTGTGGTGCTGTGAGACATTGCATCGCCAAGTCCTTTGATCTCTCGTACTAGGTTTGGATGGTAAAATAGATGTGATTACCAACAATGACAATAAAGATCTAGAGAGTAACCTTTCTATGTTGTTACATAGTTCTATTGACACCCTTCTGACGTATACTAATATTTAGAGGTTCTTAGTTTCTAATTTTCCTATTTGTGAGGAATAGTTAGCTTTATTTGTTAGTGTTATAGATCTTTCCTAACTTATTTTATATTTTTTGCACAGCTTATGGCAAAGTATAGTTTACATTGTAATTATTTCAATTATTGATACAACCATACTTTTTATAAAACAATACAAAATAATAATTAATTTGAATAAAATTGACCATAAAGCAATATTATATATTAATCGAGATTATATATAAAGAAAAGGATTATATATACAAAAGTCTTAAAAACACTAAATCAATGGACACCACATATAAAAAAATTAAAGAAATTAAATACATAAAACGTTAATAATTAATAAAACTCCACTCTATAAAATTTTAAAATTAATTAACACATAAAAAATTATATCTAACATATTTACTCTACTAACGCAATCATATATAAAACATTATAATTAAAATACATATAATTTAATAAATATTACCAAATAAATGAAATTAAATATATAAATATACCTCAATTCCATTTAATCCATAAAAACACCTAAAACATATTAAAAACTTAAATTAGTAATATACATGATATTTAATGGATGAAGGAGAATATGGAAAAATTGAAAATTAAACAACCAATAAATTGAAATGAATAATATCTCTAATTACAAGTAACATATAAAGTCAGAGGAAATGGGAGAGGAAGAGGAAATGGAGAAAAGTAAGAGAAAAGCAAGAAGGAAAGTTAAAAAAATGGAAAGGAAAAGGAGGAAAATTAAGGAAGATTAAGATGAGAAAAAGAAATATATGAGTGAAGTGAAAGGAAGAGAGTAAAAAAAAGAAAATGAATTTGGATAAGGGATGAGACAAATGAAAGAGAAGAAAGAAGATGGGAGAAAATAGTTGAAGGTTTATATAGATAAATATTATTTTTCATCACTGATTAGCATTACAGTGGTGAAAAATAATATGGATAGGATGAAAATTTTTCAAGGAAAAAGGCACTTGAATGTTGTGCTCCAAACTTTATTATAAAATTATTTTCCAATGCCTAGATATAGGCGACATTTGATAAATTTTATAGAAGAAAAGATACTTGAATATCTAGCTTAAAAACTTCTAATAAAATTATTTGAAAAATAATTAAAGTGCTATATTTGAAAATTCTAGGGAGCATTACATTATTTAAGAATTTGTTTGTATGTTGGACATTTTTAGCACCAAGTGCTTGAAAATAACTACTGTTCATCATGAAGGGTTATTTTTCAACACTAAGAGTTAGAAAATAACTTATGCAACTTAGGGTGCATTTGGGATTACGGTTTGGGGTTTTGCCTTGTAGTTATATAATACTTTTTAGATATATGTGTGTTTGATAATTTTTTTTGAACTACTTTCTTTGAAAACTACAGAAAGCCATAGCAAATCCATTACAATTTTATATATAAAGTTGGAAGCCTCATTTAGGAATTTGATGCACTAAAATCACTCTAATAAGTACACTAGTCACTCTAAGTAATATAATTGTCACGCCCCAGAACCCGAATTTGAGGCGCGACAAACGCCGTGCACTCGTGAGAGGGTCCCACAAATGCACAAGGCTCAGAACTTATCCAAATCACATCTGACCATCCAATAATTCAAATCAATTACAAGTGGCTAGCCTTCTAACTCGTCACTCCTCTTGGTTTCCCCGTCCTCAGTTTCGCTTCCTGAAATGGTGGATAAGGAAAACTATGAGATAACTCAGCAAGTAAATATGGATAGCCCTTGGGTAAAACTTTTAAGCACGTTAGATAAATAGTTTAATATAACCAAAACGCTCAGTGACAAAATCAAATTCAGTTAATTGCAAAGCATTCAATGACAACTCGTCAATGCAAATTCAGATTCAGTTCAATAACAAAACGTTTCATGACAAATCGTCAATGCAGAAGAAAACTCAGTTCAGTAGTCTCATCTATAAGTCATGGCCAGCGTTTATAAACCTCCCACTGACGGGCACAATAGTTGCCAATGTTTAACCCCATAGGCAAGGTTACAGAAGTGCCAATGTTTAACAACTCCCACTGGCAGGCGTCAGTAATGGTGCCAGTGTTTACAACTCCCACTGGCAGGCGACAGTAATTACCAATGTTTAACCCCATTGGTAGGGTGAACCGGTTCTACAGAAATACATGTCGACATGTGCTAGCGTTTATAAACCTCCTACTAGGGGGCACAGTAATCAGTAATCATGACCATATCCGAGACAAAACCATGCAGAGTTTACAGAAAAACCCGAATTTCACAATCAATCTCGAATTTCAGAACAAATCGGAAAATTTCCATGTGGGCATTGATTTAACAGAAACTCAATATTCACAAATTTCTCAGTTCATCAAACAGTTCAGTCAATTTCCAAATAGGCATGCTCAACTCTAGAAAAACAATGAAATTCTCATTTTCATTTCAATCATGCTCAATTCCAAAAAACAATGAAATTCCCATTTTCATTCCAATCACGTTCAATTCCAGAAAACAGTGAAATTCTCATAAAAACCATCACAATTTCCAATTCAGTTTAATCATACTCAGATGCTGATAAAATCAATTTAAAATCAATTTGAACCTTACCACCATCTCAAAAACAATTTAAAACATGCTTTAAAATCAAAGGGCTTTACCATAATTTACTTACCTTACTCGCACAGAACAGAAGGCTAACCCAAGTGCTACGGTGACAGAATGATCAAAACCTAATCACAATATTCCATAATTAATAACCATACCACCACAAATTTACAGTGAAATCATCGTTAGCACTACCCCTAATCACAGTGCTATTTCTATCAATCTCCCCATAACCAGACATCTCCAAATTTATTCTTATATCACAACCTAAACATTTAAATCTCCATTAATTGTTGGCCCTCGGTGTGTGAACAGTGTTCTGTGAACAGCACCGTGAACAGTACCAGCGAACAGTGATCCGCAGTGAACAGTAACTTCAACTTCCGAAATTGGCGAAACAATAACTAATCTCACGGGATTTTTCTCCAAAATCACAACAACCCAAATCAAGCTAATTTCCTACTTAAACCACACTTAAAACATAGCTTAAAGCTACCAAAATTTTCCCAACCTCACGGGCAGCACATGGAGGGCATGACCTTGGCAACCCACAACTCACACACACGGGATTATTCCTACACAACATCACAGCAGCTAATTCAAGTAATTTCCACATAATTTAGACAACAAAACACATTTAAAGAGCTGCTAGATGCTACTGGAATTCCTCCCCCATTTTAGCAAAATTCGGGCAAGCACAGGGGCAGCACTTAATGGACAAAACCCAACAATTAAATGGGTAATTTTAAGCTTGGAAAAGCCGGCAACTTACCAGAATTCCAGCCAGCAGAACCCGAGCTTGGCTGGTGAGGAAGCCGACGGGATCCAGGGGGGAAACTCACGGCAAACTCCAGAAATTCAAGAAACAATAACAAAATTAGAGTAACCCAAGCCAAATGAAGAGAGAGAAAGGATGAATTCAAGGCTGCTTCTTACCAGAAAGACCGAAAATCACACCCACAAGCAAGAGCAGCAGGCGGGGAAGACAGAGCAGAGTAGATCTGGAATTTCCAGCACAGAAGGGGGAAATTTCTAGGTTCAAGAACAAGAAAAGAAGGAGAAAATCCCAAGTTTGGTCACCAATTTTCTCAAAGAATGAGTTGGTGGCTAGAGGGGCTTGGAGGGGGCTGTCGGGAGGAAGAGTCGAGAAGGAGAAAAAGATGAGGAAGAGCAAAACATGTGGCTGAGGAGAGAAATATCAGCCTTGATCCTTATCTTAATTTCCTTTCTTTTTAGTCCCTGACCTTTTTAAAATTTTACGATTAAGTGCCAAAATAAAATTTTCCCTCAGATAAGTCCCCAATTTAATGCTAAAATACCCCAAAATTTTGGGATATTATAATAATGATGATAAGAGTGTCGAACCCATAAGGATTATGATTAATTAAGTATAAAAAATAATTAACATAAATTTATTTGAACAATAAAAAAGGGAGAAACTTTGGTTTAAAATAATAAAAAGAAAATAACAATTAAAATAAACCTAACCAATATATGAGGTACTAAGGCATCAACTTCACCATACTCAATCAATATAAATTTTGGATTAATATGTTTTCAAAACCAATTTATTGAGTGTTAATGCATGTGATAGTGGATTTTCCTAAATAAAATTAACTACCATCTTCATATCAAGTTAATTTTTTGCTTGTTTGTTAAATTAATTATATCTCTTTGTAATTTAAAACAAGCTAATGAGCATTAAGCAATGTGGAAACCTCTAACTTAAAAACGAGAGCTCCTAACTCTCTTCTCTTCCTCCACTACCACATGTGATACTAATTACCTCTCGATGTCATAGTCTAACACATGGTTTATATTATTATTGGTCTAATTTATGCAATTTTTTTTCAAATTCATCCATAAGGCACTAAATCAATTAAAATGTAATTAGCCTTTCAATGCATTAAATTCAATAACATAAACTCATCGTACAAATAACTTTAATTAAAAATATAAAAATCACAAAATCTATACTAAATTGATTAAGTTATATCATAACCTTAGTAGAATAAATTAGTTCATAATAAAAATAATAAAACTTGAAATTATAGTTATGAACATAATAATATCAAACAATAGATAAAAATAATCTAAGAAAAAACAAAATGTAATTTGAGAAAATTGAAATTCTTGATCTTTTATTATTGATAAATCTTCTATTTTGATCTCCAAAAGTGCCCAAAAAAGAGTTACCACCAATCTCTAAAACTCTCTCTTTAATTTTGAATTTAAATGACTATTTATAGGATTTTAGAAAATCTAATTGGAATATAAGTAGGACAAACATAAAATATTAAAGACCTATCAACACCCTAGATGGTGCTGACACCTTCATTGTATCCGCCAAGAAGGGTACGCGTGGGGATTGGTCTTTAAAGCAATTTTGATTAATGGTAAAATAACAGTCTTGGCCTTTGACTTTTGGATTCTACAAAGTTAATCCTCATATTTTTGACCTCTACAATTTGCTCTTAAAAATTATGATTTCTTCAAATTAAGTTCTTTCCTACATAAATAATAAAAATTATATTAAATCAAGTAAAATCTTATAAAACTCATCCAAATATCAATAATATTAAGGTAGAAATTCTACATTAATGTATATATATAATTTAGCTCATCAAATTCATCAAACTTAAGTTTTACTCGTCCTCGAGTAAAATAAAAAAAATAAATAAAAAGAAAATAAAACCTAACTTACTTTTGTAGGAATCATGATTGTACTTAGTATATTCAAGAAGCCTTTAAACCCTTAGGTCACCCTAGTAGACAAGTTGTGTCTCATGAGGGTTTTCAATGAATCTACCCACAAAATCCCAACGCAAGAATGCAACTACATGATATGCATGCAAAGAAAATTTAGGTATTAAAATTCAATTAGATACAAAGTCTCAAATGTTCAAGAGTTTACATATGCTCACTTAAAGTCAAATACTCCGTCCTATTCTTCACACCACCTTTCAAAAGATTAAACTCATGACCACTTATAGTGTATGTGAAAATTCCTAGTAAAAAGTTTAGAGCTTAGACCTTCACACTTTAGCACTTATTGTTATTATTTTTTCTTTTTCTCCTTGTAATATCCCAAATTTTCGGGAATATTTAAGTATAAGTTAAGGACTTGATTGTGAGAAAAGATTGTTTTGGGACCTAATGTGAATATTTCAAAAGTTGAGGGACTTAAAGAGGGAAAGATTTTGGATAAGGATGACTTCTTTTCTTTTTCTTTCTTTCTTTTCTTCCCAGCCTTGCCCGATTCTGCTCTTCTTCTCCTTTCTTCCCACTGCAGCCACTCGAAAGAAAAAGAAAGAGAACCCAGCCATGCCTTTGAGAAACCAGTGAGATAAGCTTGGTTTTCTCCTTCCTTTCTTGCTCTAGAACACACCTAGAACCCAGAAATCTTCCCCCCTGCTGGAAAAGCCGGATCTGCCCTGCTCTGCTTTGTCCTTCCGCCGGCTGCTCTTGATTGTGGGTGATTTCTGGGCATATTTTTCGGTAAGAACAGCCATTAATTCATCCTATTAGCCTTAAATTAACTTGGGTTTACCTTAATTTCCTCTTGGTTCTCCAATTTTTGGTAGATTGCGTGATTCTCCTTTGCACTGCTGTCGGCTTCTTCCCCCTGCTAGGTCTGGTTCTTGCTGGAAAATTCTGGTATGTGACAGCCATTTAAGGCTTAAATTGTCCATTTAGTTTGCTGCCTTGTGTGTCCGTGAATTGCTAGGAAATGGGGGATAATTCTGGTAGCTTTAGGACCATGATTAAGCACTAATTCAAGTGGGATTTATGTGATTGAGTGTTAATTGCTTGTTGTGATTTTTGGAGAGAAAACCCCGTGATTAGGTAGTGTTTTGGCCAATTTTAGAAGTTGGAATTACTGTTCACGTCGGGGTTACTGTTCAGCGGCACTGTTCACAGATTACTGTTCACACCCCGAGGGCCAACAGTTAACAGGGATTTAAATGATTAGTTTGTGATATGAGAACGATTTTGGAGATATTTGATCATGTGGAGATTTATGGAAATAGCATTGTGATTAGGAGTGATCCTAATGATGATTTCAGTTTGAATGTGTGATGGTCCGGTATTAATTCTGAGGTTTTTTGATTAGGTTCCCGATCGTTCTGTCAGTTAGCACTGAGATTGAGTGCTCGGTTTTATGCGAGTGATGTAAGTAAATTTATGGTAATGCTCGTACTGTTTTAAAAGCATGTTTTGATTTGTTTTTGAAGTGGTGGCGGGACTAAACCCGTTTTACACGAGCATGACTGATTTGAAGTGAAATGTTTTATGCTTTTCATTAAATTGAGCATGCCTACTTGAAATTTAATTGATTGTCCCGATGATCTGAAAGTGATTGATGAATTATGATTTTTCTGTAACCTCTGCCTGTTTTGTCTCCGATATGGTCATGTTATTTCTGTAATCCCGCTAGTGGGGGTTAAACGCTAGCACATGTTTCTGTAATCCTGCTAGTGGGGGTTAAACACTAGCACATGTCGACATGTTACTGATAGAACTGGTTCGTTTCTGTAACCCTACTAGTGGGGGTTAAACACTAGTAATTCCTGTTGCCTGCCAGTGGGAGGTTTAAACACTTGGCATGACCTATAGAGGAGACGTCTATTTCGTTCCCGCACTGTATCCGTTTTTCGTGATTGTACTTGTTGGCATGCTATGAGTTTAATAAGGGCACTCCATATTTACTTACTGAGTTTATCTCATAGTTTTTCCTTGTCCACCATTTCAGGAAGTGAAACCGAGGACGGGGAACCATGGGAAGTGACGAGTTAGAAAGCTAGCCATTTCGAGATTGATATAGATTCTAGAAATCGTGATCTTGTAAGCTAGAGTTTATTGGAGATTTATGATATCAGAGAGATTTTATAATTTGATCTTCAGATTTTGATGGTATCAGAGTGTGAATTGGATAAGTTCCGAGCCTTGTGCATTTGTGGGACCCGTCTCACTAGTGCACGGCGTCTGCCGCGCCTCGAATTTGGGTTTTGGGGCGTGACAGATTTAGTGGTATCAGAGCTTAGGTTTGATTAAGATTTAGTGGTATCATAGCTTAGGTTGAAATTAAGAGCTTAGGTTGAAATTAGGAGTTTTGGATTAAATTAAGTACCTCCAGATTGAGTGGCATTAGAGCAGATTGAGTGATATCGAGCCTAGGTTTAATTGAATACCTAGGATTTGTTTTGGACTTGGCTAGCCAGTGGATTTTAGAACCGTGGTGAGACGAGTGATGGGGTATATAAGGGACGATTTTGATTCGTGTTGCCTGAATATTCTAATCCATTCTGATGAGATGGATATCTGATTGTTCTTGTTTCCTGCCTTTATATACCCTGTGTAGATCCATGAGATTAATCTTGTCCACCATGTTCTTAAGACCTTGTTTTGAAACTTGGTCATTTTCTGATAGTCTACACTTGTTTAGACTTGTTTCGTGAATGGAATTTTTGTGTGCTCTTTTGCCACAATTTTGAAATCTGGGGAGTTGCAGAGACTTTTGTTATTGATTCTGTTAGTCTCTACAGCATAGCTGGTTGAGAAATTTGTTCTGTTTGTCACATGACCAGTGGAGGATGGGTAAATCCTCTACTTTGCAAGAGATTCAAGGCTATTTTAGCCAATGTTGTGTGGTTTCTAGATGCGTTTTAGGAGCTGGATTACTTGGTAATTCCGTTGCTCCTTATTTTCTGAAAGTGTTATAGTGAAAGTTTCACTTTTTCCATTTGGAGCTTCATAGTCTTTTCATGTGGCTCATTTTTCTATATTTGTTAATCAAGAGCAGTGATCATTCCATTGAAATTGCCATGTTTTTGTGAAGATTAGCAAGCTGTCATAAAGTTAAACTCTCTATTGTTGCTAATCTCTACATTCTTGATGTCTGTTGAAATTGCTTGAAACTCTTGAAATCCGTCTTGAATCTTTCTTGATATTGCTTTGTACTTGTTCTTGAAACTGAAATCTATAAATGGATAATGATTATTGGAATCCTCATTATCTGGATACTTGTTTGAAATTAATTCTTGCATTGTTCTTGGAATCTAGTTTGAGTTGTCCTTGGAAACGTTCTTGTTCTGACTCTGCTCTTGCTTGAATCTTGAATATTCTGCTAGTTCTTGTTTCAGTATACCTATTGATCTTCTTGATTCTTGGTTTTTGTTCATATGGACACCTCTTTAGGAGGGGTGACGATTATCAGAAGATACCTATATGAGGTATTCTAAATTCTTGTCTCTTGCAAGTGTTAAATTCTGTATTCTTGATGCCTTAGTTTTGACTTGACTCTAGGATGACCTAATTGAAAATCTGCTTAGCCTCGCCTCCATGAGCTACGAGGTGAAGGGGTAGTCTTTGATGTGCTTGATGCCCTAGAGTTTTGTTCCAAGAGAAATTGTTCTTGATCCCAGCCATTGCTTTGTTCTGTTAATTAATTCTAGTACTTGGGGTGCTAGATCTTGACATCCTGGTTATATCTGCTCTTGAATTCGTGTTTTGATTGTCATTATTGGAATCTCTTTTGTGGGCTTAATCCTTGAATTCTATTGCTTGTTTCATGATTAGCTCGTCTCTCAATTTTGACTGCTTGGTTAAATTTGATCTTGATTCTTGGTGACTGCCGTTTTGTTGCCAAATTTTTGAGGCATTCTACCTTGCACTCTTGTGTTCTAATATTCTTCCAAGCATTAATATTTTCCATTGATTTTATTCTATTGCCATTCTTGAGATCCTTATACATCTTTTGATGGGTCCAGCTTTTAACTCTTGTTAATTGCTAAAATTTGTCTCTTAATTCCAGTTGTTTGTTAAACATGATTTTGGTTCTGGTTAACCTTGTTTTGTGGCATAATTTATAAGGCATTCATGCACTTGTTCATTCATTCATGATCCATATATCCATTGGATGCTTATCCGTGTTTGATAAGAGTTCCAAGTTTTGTTGTAATTGTCTTTAAATCCATGCCATTCTTTGCCAACTCGTCTTGTGATGGGTTCATAGCATAACCCCACAATTGTTCTTTTGTGGCGTTGGCAGGATTTATTCTATTCCTTGTGCTTTCCGTATTACCCCAGCCTCCAGTAGCTTATTTGATGGCAAATCTTGTTAAGTGATTAGTGTTCTGCTTTTTAAGATTAGTTGTGATTTGATATCAGAGTGGCGCAGCGGAAGCATAGTAAGCCATGTCTGTTCATAGAAAGTTAGTGGGGCATTTGCCTTGGATTGTGTGAAGCCATTCACCACTTGATATGGTCCTCAATTTGAGTTTTGGGGACAAAACTCCTTTTTAGGAGGGGTGAGTGTAATATCCCAAATTTTCGGGAATATTTAAGTGTAAGTTAAGGACTTGATTGTGAGAAAAAATTGTTTTGGGGCCTAATGTGAATATTTCAAAAGTTGAGGGACTTAAAGAGGGAAAGATTTTGGATAAGGATGACTTCTTTTTTTTTTCTTTCTTTCTTTTCTTCCCAGCCTTGCCTGATTCTGCTCTTCTTCTCCTTTCTTCCCGCTGCAGCCACTCGAAAGAAAAAGAAAGAGAACCCAGCCATGCCTTTGAGAAACCGGTGGGATAAGCTTGGTTTTCTCCTTCCTTTCTTGCTCTAGAACACACCTAGAACCCAGAAATCTTCCCCCCCTACTGGAAAAGCCGGATCTGCCCTGCTCTGCTTTGTCCTTCCGTCGGCTGCTCTTGATTGTGGGTGATTTCTGGGCATATTTTTTGGTAAGAACAGCCATTAATTCATCCTGTTAGCCTTAAATTAACTTGGGTTTAACTTAATTTCCTCTAGGTTCTCCAATTTTTGGGCAGATTGCGTGATTCTCCTCTGCACTGCTGCCGGCTTCTTCCCCCTGCTAGGTCTGGTTCTTGTTGGAAAATTCTGGTATGTGACAGCCATTTAAGGCTTAAATTGTCCATTTAGTTTGCTGCCTCGTGTGTCCGTGAATTGCTAGGAAATGGGGGATAATTCCGGTAGCTTTAGGACCATGATTAAGCACTAATTCAAGTGGGATTTATGTGATTGAGTGTTAATTGCTTGTTGTGATTTTTGGAGAGAAAACCCCGTGATTAGGTAGTGTTTTGGCCAATTTTAGAAGTTGGAATTACTGTTCACGTCGGGGTTACTGTTCAGCGGCACTGTTCACAGATTACTGTTCACACCCCGAGGGCCAACAGTTAAC